CTTGCCGAGTTCAACGAATATCTGAGCACTCTCGGGGAACCATTTGACTTCGATGGCAAAAAATTAATTAGTATCATGGATAAATTCCAGGAGCCGTTCAATAAGCATTTCCATCATGAGATCGAGACCATCGCATCGTTCGCGGATTTACCAGAAGCGAAAAAGGCAGAGGAAGCAGCAGCGATCTTCAAGGCTTGGGGAAAGAAGACAGTTACCAAAGCTGGGACGACGGATGTGGTACCTTTCTTCTTGTTGAATCTCGATACCACGTATGAGGAGGGCATGTGGGCATCATGGCCGCCGATGCCAGCGCCAATCAGGTGGGGACTGGTCAACATTGCTGGGGCGTATCATTGGGCTTGGTGGAAGTTTTCTAGTTGCGATTCAGCCGGTAAACCGAGGGAGCTGTATGCTTTGCATGTACCAGAAAAGCCCCTAACCGGCGCCTCATCTTGAACACAGATCCTTCTTTGTGGGATCCAAAGGCTGTAGGATAAAGAAATTGGATTCGATTCATAGCGTATAGTATGACATAATGGCAAGCTTTGGTCCCTTGCTTTTGTTGGTATGTCCAGCTTTGTAATATAGTAATCACGCACCAGGAACATTGCCACCTCGATAGCATAGGCAGGAGTGTAAGCAGATCTCACATTTGGAAATCTACACCAAAAGCCACTGTGAGATTGTGCGGAGAAGCTTTCCTCTGCTATTCGCTCGCCTAGATCATCTCACACTTCGCCCGAATCATGTCAGATAGTTCTCTTCGAAGTAAGCAGCCCTATCGGGCGTTGTTCGATGATCGGTGTGCGTGCTTGCGCCGCATCAACTTTTCTTACCAATACGTATATCGCGTTCCAGGAGGCAGCTAGTCTGACTTCAGCTTATGAACTTTAATGGGTCTAAAATGAGCGAAGGAGCAGTCATGCGATGATTAAGGTTTGTTTGTGAGCATTGATCTTAGTCTAGCTGATTACCTATTCTCATCACTGCCGGGTATTAGCATACATAGATCAGTGTTTCATACACTGGTCTGAATAGTATGTTAAAATTACGCTATGGTATCATGAAAGGATCCAATATCTGGTGACTGAACCATGGGGTTTTTGAGAAATAACAAGGAGAGATAATATCACCACATTACAACTCACGCTGCAACTCTCGAAGAGGCATTCGAAAGACCGCACGACAGCAAATACTCAATCGGATCTTCAAGGAAAGCCATCATCACAAGTGACCTACGCCGCGACCATCCCACTGTGCCTCTTCCTTAGAAATATTGCTGGTCAGATATATGCTTGATGACAAGAGGCCGTGCAAAGCGATCCACCCAGTAAAAATGATTCCTTAGGTCCTTAGTTGACGATAGTATAGGTTCCATTACTTGGATCTGAAGTATCAGTAGTCCCACGAGGACAGTGAAGAAACCAGTCCGGCTTGGTATGCATTGTGATGGGCGAATTCACTTTCTTCCGTCATGCGACAGGAAGCCGCACAAGAGAATCATAGCAAGTGGCAGTCAATCAGGCAGAGGCAGAACGTTCAAGATTCAATATAAAAAGGGCATCTTCTCCCACCAAATCTGCATTCGCAGCAAGATTCACTACCACTCTGAACTTTCTTCGTCACACTTCCACTTCCCACAAGAACCGCCTCGACTAGAGTACTATTTACATCATCCGAAAACATGAAGTTCAGCATTGTATCTCTTCCACTCCTCTTTGCCATCACTGGCCTTGCCGCCCCAAGCCTCGTTGCGCGAGAAGATTCCAATGTCCACATTGGTGTGAATCCCCGCTTCACCCCAGGACCAGAGACCAATATCGTCGTTACGCTTGGACAATGCCGTAAGCATATTTTCTTTCGATGACCATCATTTTCCTAGTAGCTTCGCCACGACTGATTCGCGTAAACGCAGGTGACTTGCCGCCGGAATACGTTCTCGCCCTTTCCGCCATTGCCCCTAATGGAATCTTGACATGCACTCTTTACTCGTATGTATTGCTGATTTTCACTTTGAATGAAGAGGCTGTGAATTGACGTAAACGATGCAGCGAGACGCAATGCTCTGGTAGCAACACTTTGACGGTCGATGGGCGCTTCCCTATTGAGGACTTACGTACGGTTGGCTACGACAACCAGGCTGTGTCTATTCGCTGCGTGAGGCATTAGTAGACTCGGTTGCCAAGGATGAGGGGTGACCCTCGATTGAGTTAGCTGAGATCGGATTGTTTTCCTCTCATGATCAGTCGTTACTACAAGCTGGCCAGCGGTTTCTCGTGCTTTTAGTTTCGTGCTTAAATACGATCTTTACCTTGCTACTCTCGCTTTACACTGCCGCTTGACGTACGTGAAGTGAAATGCAAGACTATTTGAAATTGTAAGCTCGATGTTCCACTTTGCGAGATAATTGGCAATGCGGATGCAGATTTTCGATCTAGAAACGCTCCAGAGATCAACTCGGCGATCTGTGACACGCGAGGAAGGCGCTATGCATCGTATGCTCGGCTGGCCCACGCTTTCGGGAGTTCCGTTCCGCCTCCCCTCAATTATTTTCCACCCATGATAGCTTTATCTCGCAGAGAGTTGACAGATCGCATACAATGTACTTAGATCTAGAATACAAGTTGAGATACTCTCTCGAAAGTTGATAGAGGGTTTGAACAGCCTTCGCTGCCTCACCCTTTACCCTGGCTTGGGGTTGCTCGCGACCGAGCTGTTCGCTTCATTTGTTTTCCCTGAAACTTGCTTTCATGAGACATATGTAGTACTCGCATAGCGACTGGGCTGGTGATTGTGCAGATTCTACCCCTTGCTGTTTTATGCTGTGCTCCAGTGGCCAGTCTCGAAAAGGAACGAAAGCCTTCCTTTGCACTACCGATTGCTACCGTCACCACGCACTTGATAGCAACAACGGAAAGTTTCGGCGTATATGTCGCTCAATGTATCACAGCATCAAAAGACGATGATGCGCATTGAAAAAATGGATATATCTTGTTGGTTAACACCACGACTTTGTATCATATGTTTGGTTTCCTCTCATAGCTTTGAATGCTTGCAAACTTCACCAGATTCTTTTTTCAAATATTTGGCAGTGCAGCAGCCAGCCTACTACAGCACTTCAATAGACTTTCATCGGGAGCAGCTCTCCTAGTCATCGCTTATCAATGCGAAGATAAAGCGAGACCCTATCTTTTGTTACCTGGATGGCACAGCACGACTCTGAAAGCTTAGCACGAGGCGGTGCACGGCTAGAGAAAATAGTCACTGCGAGTCTTGTGCTGTCATGGCTGTTTATCGCTTTGCGAATATGGACACGGACATATCTTAACCCGAGTTTCGGTTGGGATGACTTTACCATAATTCTGGCAGGTGCACGTAACCCCTCGTTTGTCTGATGAGGATTGTGCTCACTCTAGCAGATGATATTCACAGCATACTGTGGCTGTATTCTATACATTGAAGGGCATGGTGGCGGAACCCACGTCACCAGCGTAGTTCAGCTGAATGATCTCACAAAGGGAAGGGCTGTTCCCTACCAAAAAAAATTAAGCTAATTGCTATATAGAGGACTATAGCTAGTGAAGCATCATATATTGCAACTGTGATGGTACTCAAAATATCACTGGGCATTTTCTTCGCCCGCATTGTCGTTAAAAGATGGCATCTCATTCTCATCAATATTACAGTGGCAATCAGCTGCGTCTCTGCGACGTCGGCTTTCTTCTACTGTATTTTTAGATGTGGAGCGAATCTCGAAAACTACGTCTTACGGCAACTATCCCATCGATGCACACCTAAAACGTTGGATCGCTTCTTCGCATATCAACACGCAGCTTTTGCTTTTTCGACAGATTGCGTGTTCGTGATGTTACCAATACCTTTGCTCTGGGACACGAACATGAGCCGACGATCAAAGATTTCTGTAGGGCTCATTATGTCCTTAGCTGCACTGTAAGGATGTTTGAAGAACTTGGTATCCTCTACTAATAGTATAGTGGCTGCGTGTGCTCTGCTATTCGTTTTCGGTATGTGGACGGTCTAACGCAAGTCGATGATTTCTTCTGTGAGTGAGCTACCGCTGATTATCTGTCGGCATGATGCTAACTAAGTGCTCCACCTAGGGAACGCTGTGAACATTTCCCTCTGGTCTACTATCGAACCAGGAGCAGGGATAATGGCTAGCTGCATGGCAACCTTAAGACCACTTCTGAAGCGCATATTTGTCAAAGCACAGTCGATCCACTCAGTCAGATCTCGATCTGCTGGGCCATCTCAATCTACTGAATCTCGCACCACTTCATCAAAGCAGAACAGCGAGCTTCGGACCGACGACAAGCAGCCAGATTCTCATCAACCCTGCAAATATGACAGCTCATTCCCCGATACCCAGAATCATGAACTTTTTGGATTGAGGTCTATTGATATGTTAAGTTGCGGAAGCACTGAAAATATTCTCTCGCAAGCCGATGCACGATCTTCGATCCAACGAGATGAAGACTTGGGACTCAGTAGAACATACAAGTGGACATCGCCCCGTCAGAATGCAGAGGCCACATCGAACAAATCGGGTTCAATACTGCACAATGCCATATATGGCAACAAAGGAGATGTTTGATTTTCTAGTCGAACGGTATGTGATACGACTTTTTCATGTAACAGTAGAGTAGAGTACCTTTTGTGGTTGTTGTTACGCCATGTTGTATTGGAAAAGATTAATTTCAAATACCCAGCTTTTTAAATGTGATCTGGAAAGCCGTCCTGCGAATCTCGCATTGTAGATTAAAAAGTCATGTCGTGCCCTATGTTGTTGATTCATGTTAACGATTTCACATAGATCTGACCGATCTAGAGGATGCTCAAAAAGATTATTCGGGTACGAGGAACGGCTCCCCGCTGGATCCACTCGCCAACCCGCATACGCCTAGCGGCTATCGACATAGCAGCACATTCGCACAATGGAACAAAAATCATCACAGTAGCATCCAAAACTGTCAAAAAAGCGAGGGACATGGGGCTCGAACCCACAACCTTTGGTGAATTTCAGGCCTTGTGCTGACCGAAAACCAACGCGCTACCATTGCGCCAATCCCCCACAACTCTCCGAGGCGGATGATGAAAATTCTGAACATTGTGAAATATAGATAGACATGGGATATTCGGGTAGGAAGCTCTATATGTCTAAGTTCGTGCGAATTTTTTGAGGAATGATAAAAATTTTCGTGCTAAGATGGTGGGGTAGTCGTGAGGGGCAGGTAATACGCCGAATGTTAAGCCTCAGCGTGCCCTCCGAAGGTGATCTCCACACAGCAGCAAATACGACGTAAGGAACGACTAGCTTTGTTCGCTTCCATGTGATGTAGGCCATATTGCCTAGGCAAATATGGACCTCCACTATATGTGCATTACGAGGTTATATCATTCCATTAAACAACCAATTTTCTTTGATTTCTTCTTCTGCACGAAATAGCCTTCTGCTCGTGCTTTCAGGTACAGTTACGGCGACGTTTCGTTTGTTTCACTCACCCCGCATATTTCACGCAACACAATCGTTCTGCTCGAAAGGCTGATTTCGTTGGTGCTCAATTCCGAAACATGGCTCCCGAAGCGCGCATATCAGGCCAGTGTCATCGCTAGCACAGCATTGGCCGCTGCACCTCAACGTGTCGAACATTGACGGACAAGAAAAAGCCACTTGTGCACTGGTGAATTTCCACCTGTCACTAATTTCGCAAGTGACCAGTAGCAAGCTGCAGGTAATAAGTGAGCATCGGAGAACACAGAAGATTCAGCACCTTTGTTCTTCTTTCTCCTCCACACGCAAGAAGCATCAGTCTCTACTACGTTGGCAAACGGCAAGCGACGTCGTGGGCCTTTAAGGATGCGTTGAATCAGGCTGTAAACTAAGACAATAGCACCTTTTTTACATTGATTGTTGTAGTGGTTCACATGGCTATTTACACATTCGCGATCATGAAACAGCTCGCCCGTGTGGCAGGACGCCAGGCGTCCTCCTCACTCAAAGCAAAAGCCACGCTGAGCTAGGCGCCTATCGGGAGGAAGGTCAAGCGGTCTCTATATCTAATACTTCACACCGCCCGCTCGACCCCTTATACCTAATTTCTACCTTCACTCTTTATCCAACTTGCACTTCGTTCCTTGCTACCAGACAGCATGCTGTCATCCATTCTCTTTATTCTCATCGCTAGCTCTGCACCGAGCGTCTGGGCCAACTCTAACCTGGAGACTCATGTTGATAGTCTGGACCTTGAGGCCAGCTTTACTCCTGTTGTTGCTAGTGAGTTTATGGGAAATCCTCACCACCACCGGACCCCCTTTGCGGTAGGTTTTGCTCTCCTGGACGCAGGAAATTGCTCATGCGGATGCTTATGGGACTCAGGTCTCGCCTGACGGCAACAATGGCTATGTTGCTTATCTTCAGGGGAGCGGAAACGTCCACGTACAGAAAGTGACATTGGACACGTTCAAGAAAGACGGCAAAGCGATTACTGTTAGTGGTGCCATGGAGGGTAAGTAACTCCCCTTTCGAGATCGTCTCAGGATATTGACTATGTGTAGCCAGCGGTCTCGTTGCTCACAATGACGGATTTGCTCTGCTCACCCACCTCAACATGACGCAGGACGGGCCCGAGGAGTATTGGATCCCCACAGTCTTACGCTACAAAAACGGAAAGCAAGCCTGGAGTACTCCTGTTGGCGGCAAGACAGTCACTTTCAACATGTTCCCAGATACAAAATTCCGCGCCAATAAAGGCTCATTGGATGGTGACTTAAAGTTCGGCGAAAACGGAACATACGCTGCATTCTTCCGGGCCGAATACTATGGCGGGAGTGTGGCTGGTCATGGCGGTGACAGTATAGTCTACCTCGATGACAAGGGGTTGCGCATCAACGGTAAATACTCCCAGACGCAACACTGTGGTCATAATTTCGGCATTGCGCTCTCGACCTCCAAGAACATTCCCTTTGCAGCGGTATGCACCTCAGACGATGGCAACATAAGCATTGCGTCGAGCTCCAAAGACGAGATGCCCACAATCGGTGAGCAGCATCCTGAGGAGATGTTTGCGGCCGAAGCATTCGGGGGTACACGTGGTTCGTACAGCGGCATGGTGCATATGGGAACAGGTGAATCTTATCTTCTCGCCTGGGTCGCGAGACCTGCCGGGGGTAGTGACCATCTTACGCGCATCGTCCGGGTTGCTCAGCTGAGCGCAAAGGACACCGTAGGTCGAGGACCGAAAGATGTGACCCAGCACCAAGACAAGGTTGATTGCATTAATGCCCACATCGCTACTATCGACGATACTCATGCTCTTGTAAGTTGGGAAGAGAACGATGTCTCCGATTGTGATGGCAACGACTTCAACGGTTACGGATGCGGCAAGAGTAGGTATACCGGCACTAAATTCCAGATCGTGGATGCGTCTGGCTCAAACCAAGGGTCCTCATTCTCGTCGTCGGACGTTTTCGTGTCTGGGGATATTGCCAAGGTTGGGTCGAAGCTCTGCTGGCCGTATGTCAATATGAAGTGGAGTTCTAGCTCTGATGACACCATAAAAGGGACTGGCAATACCGTGAAGAAACTCTCGTTCGCATGTTATGCTTCGAGTGGCTCTTCCAAATCTTCACCAATTATAATAGAGTCTGCGGAGACATCCTCGGCTATATTATTGCAGCCTTCTCAAACCAACATGGAAGTGGAATCCACGGCGGTCACCACCCCTTCCGTCTCGGAACCTGCGGATCAGACTTGCACATTGACGGGACTGGCAACGACCCCTCTGAGAGACTGGTTGCTTGCGCCTCAGCCTACTGTTGGTGCTGTGCCTACATCTTTCGTAACCAAGGTCAAGACCTGGTCAGAAGCGCATCACTACCACCATCACAGACTTGATACTGGAGGTGTAGATGAATAACTGCTGAAGAACAGTGGTTTCAACGGGCAGGTCTAAGTTGCTCAGGGAGCAGTCTCATCCTATCGATAGGAAGGCGCCGGAAGTCATTTTCTGCAGGGAATATTGTGGCTTGCTGTGCATAACGGATCTGGGGTAGCCTGGTACGATGGCATCGCCGGAAAACGATGAGCTAGGCGCTAACCTGCATCTCAAAATGGATAGGTTTGCTAAGTTTGCTTTGCTTGTACTAGTACGTACTCATGTCTGTTAAGTGAACGCGAACAAGCTCTAGCTTGTTCGAAGTTTCGGTATAGGAGAGCCGGTGGAAATTGCGAGCTGCCTAGTGGCAATGACGGGTTGTCATATAGGCCTGCCCGTAGTATGGTGACATCTGAGCTCAATAGTCTTGTTGTGGGCTGCAAGCCACGGTGGTCGTATAAAGCAGACAGCGGCGAGTCGGCATACGCAAAACCCGACCTAATATGCACCGTTGCTACGCGCTGTAGACGGGTTTTCGTGTCATTGGCGCGGAACGACAGCTTCTGAAACGCTCGTCCGCGTGTGTACCTTTAGCTTACCATGGAAGATGGAGGTTTAAGTAATTCAGCCTGACGGCAGAGCACCTGGGCAGCTGAAGTGAATAGGTTGAGAGCTAAACCCTGACGATAGAATGGATCAATCGAAACTCCTTATGAAACATGTCTGTGAAGCTCATTGATTGTGAAGGGTAGAGGCGACGCTGCAGATGGTCGTGGCTTTGTACATCCAACACTGCTTGACGCCAAGTGGGCCGTTGTGGGAAAAAGGATAAAATTTGGCTGAATGGCTCTCGTTTGAACACCGCATCCTATGGGCATGAGCGTTTGAGTCTTTATTGCTTTGTCTGATGTGAGCTAGCAGACAGAGCATATGGTGAATATTGATGTAAGAAAACAGGAAAGCTACCCAGAGCAAGAGCCACGATACCCGGGTACGGGTATCTTTCCAGAGGCATGGATGTCATCGACACCCTAGGGTAGCTTGCTGATTGGTTTCTTTGCTGGTGCCGATAGCTTGGTAGGTCTCGCTCGCGCGTAGTGCTGATTCTTTTGGTTCCGCAGCTCGTTTAGCAATAGCGCGGGCCAGTCTGCGCCACAAGTTGCGATGCGTAAAGAAAGCTGCGCTCAGCAGACACGGGGGAGTGAATGGCAGCATCCGTTGTAGTTGGACGGTGCAAAGGTGCAACGACACGACAGTCGATGTGTGTCAGTGATGCAGTGGTTTCGTTGCTTGCCATGGACCGTGCCAAGTCGTGCCTTCCCGAAGAAGCGGGGCTGAGGTCTCCGACAGGCCACTGCATCTGCATTTGGGGCTGTGCTAGTATCCTTCGCCATCCTACGCCGGCCCTCAATTCACTCGCTACATTCGCTAGAATAGACTCAGCTGAGTGCCAGCATGGCACACCGCCAGCGGACTCCTTCTCCTCGTAGGAAGCAAACCTCACTCCTTCACGCCAACCGCAGTCTTCGCCAGGACTACCGTCATTGTGAGCTCTTCTCTTCGAATGCGGTACTGCAGCACCCTGGCGTCATTAGTAGCTGCATAGACCGGGGAATTCGACTAGCAACCAACCCGCGAGTTCTGTCGAGGCCGTCCACCGGCCCCGCTCTCCAGCTCTAAACAGCGACCATCAGCCACCTTGCTTTTCTCTACTCTGATATCAGTTCACCGGGCGCATTGTCATTACGCGTCCTCAAAGACAGGATTGATCATTTTCCTGAGACCTACGGACCGCGGCTTGAATTCTGACGCATGCACACTGCGCCAGTAGGGTCTACGCATCTAAAGCCATATACACGCAACGTTCGGATTATTTCCCATGGTGCCCCGGAGTAACGGACGTGATGCTCAAAACCGAAGAGACGACGACCATCCGTCCTGGATGACCCACGACGACGACCATATGGCTACCTCTTCGTCTGCGCCTACTGAACGTTCAAAGTCTACCAACGACGACGATGACTATCAGGGCCCACCTTCTACAACACCCTGGTCAAAACCAGCTACAATACCTGCGTCAATCCCCATTCCTCCATGGGCAAGTTGGTATTTGTCCAAAGATACTCTATTCACATCAACAGTCAGCTCCACGATACAGCATACATCGTATGAACCCACATCAGCCTCTACACCTACT